TGTCTGAGAGACTCAATCAAGAAACCAGACTGCAGTTAAATCTGGACTCTAACAGTTAAAATAAGTTTGGAGCAGAAGAGACGATTCTGTTCTGTTCTGTTCTGAATTAAGCATGCAATATTTTGATTTTTATGGACCAAGTTTGCATTCAAAACATTTTGAGTTCTGAGAGTATTAAACTCTACCTAATTTAAGAATACCAATTATTTTTGTGTTGTAATGACATTGTAAAGTAATGAATTAAGCATGCAATCGTTTGATTGAACAAAGTACAAAAAATGTAAGTTCAAAAGTTGTCAGTATTGTACAAGCACAGGCATTTTGAGACCATGTTCTCTTCATGTGGCTGGGAGCAGCCGGTCATCTGTTTTACAAACCTACCAGAGAAACTGGCTCAATCGGCCGGAGGCAGCTTCTCGGCCTGAGTCTGATGCATAGACCGTGCAACAGACTGCACAGATAAAGGTACAGTCTGATGCACCTTCATCAAACTGCAGGTGATGAAGGGAGCACAATGTAGCCAGGTGAGGCGGAGGGGCCGTGTGATCACCAACAGAAAGCAGACCTAATGGTGGTCAGTTTGCAATCATTAGACTGTTTCTTTATAAACATGTCTCTCTGTTTTTAGTTATGTAAGTGCTCTCAGTACATTTTATGCTGAAGGAAAAACTGAAACCAGACAAAGTTATTAGTTTGCTGGTATATCTTCATTCCTAACCAGACCCGCCATTCAAGTAGTTGTGGTTAATGACTAAAAGAATAAAACTTCCAGCAGTTTAAATGAACTTCCCCGACAGGGTGGATCCACCTTTGATGTGATGAGCAAAGCTAATAGGGAACTTTTGTAGTTAGCAAAATAATCTACATCGGATGGTTTTAAAAAGACAAATTTATGTAGATGAAGGTCACCTGTGTTTGTTGAAACATGAATGTTTTTATCATTTGTGAAATATAAAATAGATGCAATAGAAACTTCTACCTCATGAGTCAAGAAATAATCTTTTTTTATTATTATAATTGTTTATTTTTATGGACTTGTGACTCTGTGAACATGTTAAGTAAATTTATTCAAATGTTTCAATTCCCACAGGGAAACTTTTTCCAGTTGATTGTGAGGAACTTTAACAAGATCAAGATTTGAATCGACAACATTAAATAATACAGATTTTATCTGTCCAATGCTGCCCTCTGCTGTCCTGCAGAAGGAAGTATAAATAACACTTGGAAACTTTTCTCACCAAAGAGACTGCTAACAGAGCCAGTTCTAGGTTTCTAGGTTTTTACACAAACTGAGAGCCAAATTACACAAATTAAACCCAGTATCCATCCAAATAAATGCCTTAAAAAGCATCTATTTGCTTAAAATATTTATATTATTCCTCCTAAGCTTTGTTACTCTGATGCTAGCCTTACATTTCATAACACAAAATACATTGTCGCTGTTTATATCACTCAAATACATAACAAGCCACTATTATAACTAGGGAAGCAGATTATATGCACTTTTATATACACTTTTACTGAACATTATGCATATATATTCATCGTTCCATTAAAATAGGATAAGGAAGCTTTATGTAAACACATGTAGTTATCTTAACATTCTCCAAACAAAAGTTGCTGGTGCCGATCTCCAGCTAGCGTTCCGGGCGAGAGGCGGAGTCACCTGGACAGATCTGTTGCAGAACATAAAGATGTTGGTCGTAATGTTGAAGCATTTCTGTATTCAACTCTTAGATTATGAATTCTTTGTTTTGTATGAATTCCAGCCAAAGAGAGAGAATAATGTACTGTCACAACTGCTTAACAGAAAATGACCAAAAAACATCAATACAATATTGTCAAAGAAATACTGTTATCAATGAAAAAGACAGCTACAGAAGAGGCCCACAAATTCTGCACACTTACATGAAGACAAACAGGAACAAATGAGGGGCATGTTAACATCAGTTAAGAAGGGAAACACACAGAGAAAATTGTATTTTAAAGATTATAAGTCAATAAATATTTTGGTTTTTGAAATACACAAATGCCAGCTATACATTGGTAAACACAATCTCATTGATCTTTCAACTAGAACTTACAAAGAACTTACATAGAACTTTGATAAGTAAATAAACCAATATTTGATGTAACAAAATTGATAATGTTTTACGCTCTAATCTGCAGATGTAGCATGACAAAACATAATAAGTATCACCAAACATTTCATCTTGCTCAGAAAGCTGATTGCAAACAGAGATTGTGCAGAAAATTTCAATCGTTTAACCTGTTTGTTAAGTCCAGAAATGCTTTCAGTTTTATGTTCTTGGGTGTGTTTAATGTGGTTGGAGGGAGTCGACACTTGACTGAAAACTTTGTCAGTTTGATTATTTAGTAACCATGGAGCTTTCCTTCGTGTTAAAACTCCAGTTTGACTTGTTAGTTCATGCTTTCTCACTTTTAGGAGAAAATGTCGCTGCTCAAGTGCAACTGAAAACAGCTGTAAAGCTACATCCTTCTCAGAACAAAACAGAAACACACTGTCTTAATTTGTTTTTCATCGTGTTTGGACCTTTATTTCCGGCAGAGAAAACTTATTTTATAAGAATGTCCTGACATCGCAAAAAACATGTAGAAAGCTTGCCAGTTAATTGCAGGACTGGAAACACAAACACACACAACGGATAACCATGCATACACTCACTCACACCTGAGAGCATTTTAGGCTAAATTCACACTGCAGTCTGAAGTGACCCAATTCAGATTTATTTTGTGCCTTTATATGACATCTATCTAAACTTGTCATGACAGTCAGATTACTTTGATATGTGTTCCTAAATCTGATACATGTCTGATCTTTTAAAATGTGACCTGTGTCTGTACGGCCAGGTCGCATTCATCCGACCAGTACGTCATTGATACTTGACAAAAGTCACTGTTCTGCATCCTGACACGCAGAAATGGAAGAAAAAAAATTTTGTTAGAGAACAGCTTTGAACCATTTAAAAATAAGCCAAATTCAAAGTATATTTTACATGGGCAGGTATTTATTTTTAAAAAACAAAACAGACAAAAACAATCAAGACTGAGCCAAAAGAAAAAGTAGCAACAAATAAAACAAAAGCCAAGGTGGAGTCTGTTACCTGCTTGGCATCAAATCCAGTTTGATGAGTTCAGGTATGGAATCCATGAAGGATGTTAATTAGACAGTTTCAGAAAACATTCAGCCTGAAATCATTCATCAGTGTCACACAGTCAAACAAGAAAGCCTAACACCTTACAACTGTGAAGACATTCTTAAGATAATTATAGATAAGTTGTTTTTCTCTCTTCCTTCCAGCACTAAAATATGATCCAAAATAAGTCTTTTCAATTGAAAATGGAAAAATAAGTTACATCTCCAGAAATCAACAGATGACACTGTTAAACATATATCAACATTTTATTGTTGAATAATATTTCTGCTTCTTCTCCTCCTCAAACGCTATGGGAGGGGCAGGCGGCTCTTGTTTCACATGCCTGTCGTCGCTTTGCATTCATCTTTGGTTTTGCTCTCAGCTTAACAAATGTACTTCACTGAGGTGATTTAACAGCTTGGTTTTCTAGAAAAGATGTGGCTTTATAGAAACAAGATACTAATAGTGCTTTTTCTCTGCCAGTCTTCATCATCAGGTATGATAACCAGTTTCAGTGTCACTAATATAAGCATTTATGTGTGGATGGAGATTTGTGTAGGCTGATGTTAACTGACCATTAAGACACCACCTGCAATAACATGTCCGAGGGATTTTAAAATGTTAATAAAGCTCCTGTATCAATAGCAGTGAAATACTGAACATGATAGATGGAATAATATGTCATCTATTTTAATATTTAAAACATAATGATCACTCTCACACTGTGTTATCGAGATGCCCGTTCCCCACTTTGAACCACATGACAGGTTCGCTTCGTGAACCAGAACTGATGCAGAAGAACAATCAACTACAGTCGATTTCATGGGATGGCAAAACATACAGTTCTTTGTTGCTTATTTACTTAAGAATGAAGAAATTAGAGGCCAATATGGCTAATAATGAAATTTCTGAGTATTTGTAACAAATGATGGACCCAGAATAAAGCCAACAATTCACGCAGACTCTATTCAGAACCAATGACAACCTACACTTCTGATTCTAGTTGATCACCAAATAAAGAAACGGATATTATGAGTGACGTTTCAATATGTGAATCGATATCTTCTAAAATTATCCTCTTGAAGAAACAGATACTTTGACACTAACAGGAAAATACCGATTCAAACCTGTCCTTTTATTCAAATGTTTCAATTCCCAAAGGGGAAATTTTTCCAGTTGATTGTGAGGAACTTTAACAAGATCAAGATTTGAATCGACAACATTAAATAATACAGATTCTATCTGTCCAATGCTGCCTTCTGGTGTCCTGCAGAAGGAAGTATAAATAACACTTGGAAACTGCTAACAGAAGCAGAACTGATTCTGCCTTTGTTAGCAGAAACGGTGCTGCTAACAGAACCAGTTCTTATGGGTTTCTAGGTTTTTATGCAAACTGAGAGCCAAATTATACGAATTAAACCCAGTATCCATCCAAATAAATGCCTGAAAACATTTAGATTCTTCCTCTTATGCTGGTGTTACTCTGATGTTAGCCTTACATTTCATAATGCAAAATACGTTTTAGCTGTTCATATCACTCAGCTACTTAACTAGCCGGTATTATAACTTTCTGTACTGCTTTGAATTCTCTGATCATTAAAATTGATAACAGGATAAATAAATAGATGGTTACTCACACTTATTTAGGGTTCTACTGCAGGTTTCTTCCTTTCATACAGGAGGAGTGATTGCTGTAAAGTTTGTAACTTTATGCAATCACCAGTATTTTTCTTTAAGAAATAAAACTTGTTCATGCCATGTGAAATTATAACTGATGTTAACTTCATTGGTTATGTTATAGAGACGACAAAATAGTTAAACTGGTTTGTAGATAATATTTAATTACAGATTTCCAAAATTTAACACAGCTCCATTTAGGGTTACAATCTGAACTCAATCCTCATAAATGTCCATCTTCACAGCAGGTTTGTGTCTGAGCTGTTACTTTAGCTGCAAACACATCAATGTCAGAACAGACAATAAAAATGTAGCATAAAATTGCACATAATTCCCTCTGTTTTGCTGTTGGGATATTCAACATATACAGTTTTACAATGTCTTTAAATTATATGCACTTTTACTGAACATTATGCACATATAATAATGTATTCATTGTTTTATTAAAACAGGATAAGAAGGCTTTATGTAAACACATGTAGTTATTTTTCAATTTTCCAAACAAAAATGATGGTTATGCATTTAAAATAAATATAGCTATACAGACACATAACTCAATCTGCCAGTTTATAAACAAGAGTCCAACAATGCAACAATGGACAGTTCACAGCATTCACATATACAACAGTCTATTGTATTTTTCCAGCATATTTTGTCAGGAAGCAAATTGGGATTTTAATAGAATACTTGGTCATTTAGAAAAACTGACAGTAATAAAAACATTTGTGATTTTATTTTAAATATACTACACTTTGTATTAGCTGAAGAAAAACAAAAGGAGTTATGATGAAATGTTTTTTCTACTCATTTTTTCTACTAGAAATGAGTAGAAAAAACATTTCATACAGCCCACAGCTGTCTAGTACAGTAACAGGTGTTATTTCACACAATAATACCTGCTTAATGAAAAAGCAATTAGGGTACTTATTAGATTATATTAATACACATATAGTACATATGTTAAATGGACATGTGAAGGCAGAGCAGGATGTTAGATTTCTTGATCTGGATTTTGAAGTCAGTTTCTCAATGGTATGATTTCAGACTCTGAGGAACCAAAAAGAGACTTGCTAATCCTCTGATCTTAGAATTATTTCAGACAATTTGGTGAAACAAAAGATAAATAAATTTCAGCCCTACTTACCAGAGATGACTTGTCTATCTGAAAGTTAAAGAGATATTTGGGTTTCAATTTACAAATATGCAATAAAACTTCAAAAGAGAAAATATTCATAATTTTTAAGGTTTCTTAATTTAATGCAAAGATGGTATGAAAACAATCATTTGTTTGCTGCAATCTTCAGATTTCAGTCTATTGAGGTTGAGGATACATCATGATGAATCCAAAATCTTACCATTTTTCTTCTTGAAAGCAGCAAATGCTAAAGCAGCAATTATGATGGAAATCACAACAGAAATGACAGCAATGATGATGATATTTCTCTGAGATGATTCATCTGGTCAAAGAGAAACCACAAGAGCTGATCAGGCGAGAGCATCATTAATTGTTGAAGCTGTAGAATTGAGTCATAAATGTTATGAGAATTGGCATATTTTTGCAATAGATATTTGTTGGGATCTTATTTTCTTAGGAAGACATAAATGTGTGGAAGCTGGCATCACTTTGTGTTGTAAACAGTTCCTGCCCAAAGTATTTCTGATGCTTTCCATGCAGAATGTGTGTAAAATTCTCCTAATTTTCTGCTTTAATCATCACAAACTTACAAATGTATTAAATACTAACATATGTGATACTGAGATATTTATTCTCACCCCTGTTGGTCTTGATTACTTCTCTATCCAGCTTGATCAGGATTTTGTCCTCAGTTCCAGTAAACTGAAACACACAGTCATACCTCGCCCAGTCCATAGATGGGATTGATGAAATATCCAGATCAACACGATACTGGAATGTACTATCCTCATTGTTGAGGATCTCTCCAGCATCCACTCCCTCATGAATCTCCTCTCCATCCTTCCTCCAGAACATCAGGAAACTGTTTGGGTAGAAACCAGTAGCGTGACACCCGACTGGAGAGGAGGGAGTCTTCTGAAGGAGAGAAACTGAGGGGTAATCTGAACATGATGGTGGAAAACAAAAGAGGAAAAGCATGAAGAGAAAGCAAGTGGATTATGTAATCAGACTAAGACAATGTTGTGTTGATTTAGTTACATTCATATGACAATGCAGAGCAAGTTTGTTTGAAAAGATGAGGAAATTACTTTTAATAAAATGGCTTCAAAAGCAGAAGAAAATATGATATAACAGCATAAATATTACTGAAAATGTAATTTTAAAGATAACTCTTGAAAGAGAGACAGACAGATTCAATGTGCTGAAGTACATTCTGAAGAACTGTACCTGTTCTAAAGATAGAGCTGTGTCCAACGACCAAGGAGTAATTAAGAACCTCATAGCATTGATTTGTGAGGAGATCTCTGTTATAATAGAGATCTTGTGTATCCATATCCCAAATTTGTTTGAGAAAAAGAGCCTCTTTTCTCATTGCAATAAATTTCAGTCCATTTAAATCAAATTCAAGAAAGTCTTCTCCATCATAACCGTACTTCAAAAATCCAGTAACCTCTTTAGTTTCCATGTTCAGTTCACAGCCACCAATCCTCTGAAAAGTATGAACACCTGGAACAAAAATATTTTTTATTATAACGTGGTGGATTTTTAAACTATAATAAATGTAGAAGTAATAAAATATTGAAACAAATATTATTTTGAAGTGGGAAGAACAATAATTGAAGATTTTTAAAAATTACAGAACATTTTGTCCACAAAATGAAAAACAAATTGATAAAAAAAGACAAGAAACATTACTTTAATAAGTAAATGATTTGTTATTACCTTTTATTTCTAAAAATTAAGAATATTTATGTTATCTCTATGAGATAAACTAATAATTAACAAACATACATTACCTTCAGTTTGATGAAACTTCTTCATAAGCACAGGAATTATATATCTAAAGTAGGCAGGATTAGTGATAAAGCAACTAATTTTCAGAAACTCAAATACTTTTGGATTGTCACTAAATAATTTCTTCACCCAGTCTAATTTTACATCAACTTCTTTGTTGTTACAGTAAAATCCTTGGATGTCATCTAATTTTCCAATGATGTCAAACACAGCAACGTTTGTGAACCCAGTAGATCCAGTGAAGTAAAACTTCAGGAAGTGTGTCTCTGTATGAAAAAAATATATTTTATTATTAAAAACATATCATCCTCTTGCTGCAGTCCTTGAGTGAAAAATCTTTGCTAATATGTATATTCACTTCATATTTCTTCAAAGTTCTGGAAGGTATTTAATTTATTGTAAACTTCTCAGTTTTGTCTCTTTAATAAATAATTACATGAATTTAGCAGATTAACACATAGGTTAAGGTTAGATTTAGTTTTTTTTTTCTGGACCTGATAAAGAACAAATGATTTTTACAAAAAAAAAAAAAAATATATATATATATATATCACACTAAACATGCACTTTGTAAAATCTTTTAAGTATTTAACTGTTTTTTACAATATAGTTTAAAAAATACTGTCATAAATTCACAACTAAAAAGTTTATACCAATATATATGTCTATATTCTGTACATGTCAGATAAATACTTAGTGGATGAAAATGGTTTTTATCTAAGAAAAAGCTAAAAAAAAAAGTCTCAAATTCAGCATGAAGACAAATAAGGCATACAAGTCAAAATCAGTTGTAATTAAACATAGAGAAAGAAAATTTTATTTGAATCTGGTTTGTTGAATATGAACAAATAAGGGGTAATAAATATTGTGGTAGTAATCAAGAACAATATCCTACTTAATCTAATTTAAAAATGTGATTTATATACTCTAATAGTCTGTAGGAAATAATATAAAAAATTAATCCTACAAACTACATATAAACCCATATATGCAGTGGGAACATGAGAATATATGGGACTGAAAGAGTAAATTCAGATGTTATGGGGAACGGAGGTTTCTCCTCTGATACCGAGGAAGTGACTGCTGCTGAGTACAGGAATGACCTCTGACCTTTGTACAACACATTGAAAGGAAGAGCTAGAATAATGTGGAGAACCCTCAACCTCTTTATGTTCCTGCCCAAAGGACTTTGCTTTGTATTATCAAAACAAAGCAAAGTCCTGCTCTGTCTCAAATAAAAATTAAAAATAAAACAGCCAGGTATGGAATATTACTCAGTGGCATCATCCATCCTCTCCTTATTATGCACATATAAACTAATGTATGTAGTAATTTGTAATCCTCAAAGGCCTGTGTACAGAGAACCAGAAGAACTGATTCCTACTGAGTGAGAGATGACTCTCAGCTTTTCTCCCTTTTTATGCTCAGTTTGCTCTCAGTGGCTCTACCTGCTTACAAATGAACGTTTGGTTACTGAGTTTATCTCTGTTTCTATTGTGGATCTGCTCAGCAGAATTGTTTTCAGTGCTCTGTTCATTTGTTTTTGTGTTAAATCAAAATGTAAAGTTTGATTAAAATAGTCAAAAAAAGTGCCTTTTGTAACAGATCAAATGCATTAAAATAAACAAGTATAATGCTTCTTATAAAAACTGCAAGAAAGGATTTATGAACATAAAACGTTCATAATTACCTATCTTAAAGCTAAGATATGAGGATAAGAAGATTTTTGCACAGCTCTTTGTTGGGAGACACACAAAATGTTCCCTGGTTTTCTGAGAAGAGTCAAACTTCCTTTCACTAGTCTGATAACACACACAAGTCTCATTATAAAGTTCAGAGCAAGGTGAGAAAACATAGAGGAATATGATCTTTACCATAGTCTAAGAAAGGTGCCAACAACTCAGAGATTTGAAAATGAGAAAAAGAGAGAAAACATGCATATGTAATGTTTTGCCTTTTCTTACCTGCAGATGAACTATGGATGAACATGAGAAGTATCACCAACCACTTCATCTTGTTTAGAAAGCTAAAGTGAAAATGAGTTTGAAGGGAAAGTTTCAGGTGTTGAACTTATTGTTTGAGTCTAAAAAGGCTTAACTACCCGCCCAACTGTTCCTGGGCGGGATTAATGTGAGTCAATTCTTGACTGAAGTCTCTTGTCAGTTTCATTTAATAATTCATAGCAGCTTAAATCTATGCTTGTGAAATACAGATTCCACCAGAACACATATTTAAAAATTATGATATTATTTCAAAGCAATGACAGAAATCATTTACTCAGGAGGAAAGAGTTTGCCATGATGTTGTCAAGTCTGTAGACTTAAATTATTTTGTCTCAAGGAAAAGAAGGAGCAGTTCTTACACAGAGATGCAAAAATAGTTCCATGAAAGAGGATTGTGAATTAAAGCAAGAGCAAAAACTTGTGATATATAAAACATAATGTATATTTATTCTTAGTTATATACAAGGCAAGGCAAAGTTAATGCTTCTGGAGTTTTTTTGAAGACCAAAAATAGGCACATGACAACCTGACCAGCCAGATAGGCAGCAGCTAAAAATCAAAATGACTCACAGCCAGATAGAAATGTACACAATTCCAACTGCATTCAAGAAGCTGATAGTACATCTGATAACTTATTCCTCCTCATACCTCACTTAATTTTTTTTTTCAAACCCAGATTGTTTCTTAGCAGAGCCACAAATTTATATGGTCTTTTTCTAAAGAAAGTTATTTTAAACGGTGTAAATTCACCTCCATGCAAAGTTTCAAACACTCAGAAACAAAAAATCAACAAAAAATTGTAAAAAGGTTTTAACAAAACAGGTTTTAACAAAGATAAAATCTGGTTTCACTTCATAAGTGTTAGGTGTGTTAATCTCTACATACCTGATGTAATTACATTTATATTCAAGAATCTCATAGTATCTCACATAAAGAAATGATGAATGACTTGCTGATCAGGTGTCTGGATTCAGCTTCTTAGTGAGCTCAAGCCCCACAGGAGCTAAAAGAAGATCAATAGTAACAGCAGCAATGCGGGTAAATCAGTGGAAGGATTGATGCACTTGACAAAATGCTCCTCTGTTTGTCTGTTTCTTTATCAGATCCTCTGTTGTTCTCTGTTGCTGCTGTCACCAGCTGGTCCCTGACTCCCAAGCTCTCATTAGACTTTAGACTAAAGCTTCCTGGACCTCAATGTCTCCAAAACCAAGGAGATGTGGCTGGGAAGCAGCAAGAAGGGAGGCAATAAAGACCCTGGGCACACCTTCAGGCCAATCAGCATGAAGGGTCAGGAGGTGGAGCAGGTGACTCGGTTTAAATACCTCAGGACAGTTATAGACAGTCACCTACAGTCTCAAGACCATGTGGACTACATATTACAAAAGGTAGATAGAACCTGGCTCTCCTGCGAAGACCCAGGGCCTCAACACCAGTCAGGTCTACAAGTCCCTGACCGGAGTGTGCTGACATTCAACTCGTGTCATGGTATGGGTACCTCTCTGTCAAACAAAAGAACAAGCTGGGACAGATCGTCAACCAGGCTGGAAAGATTTTTGGACGTAAACAGTTGCAACGTTTTATACATGCGGGCCCTAACAAAGAAGGCATATCAAGTCTATCTGGACCCTACTCACCCTCTTCACTACGCTTTTCAGTCGCTGCCATCTGGACGTAGACTTAAAGTCCCAATAGCAAGGAAGAATGGCTGCAAGCGGTCATTTGTTCCATCAGCTGTGGCTATTCTAAACAAAGAACTGATTATAGTAACTGAGAATAGATAAGCTTTATGTGCTCCCTACAAGTCTGCTAGAAGTATTTTTTATTGATTTTTAATTTCACACCGTAACTCAGTGTAGAAAGTTCTGTGTGCTCTTAAATTTTAAATGGCTTTTAATATTTAACTGAGTGACATGGGTAGAGAAATATGACTTGATTTTATTTAACAGATTTTGTCAGTTGCCAGTTTGGATCCCCAGTCTGCTTTTCTCATTTCGAAATACAATTAATCCCCTCAGTATGCCAAAAAGACTTTAAATTAAAACCAATTAATTCATAAATGAACCAACAAATTTATGAATCCCTCATCAAAGAATTTGGAAAAACTTGTAAGTTTTCCTGAATTTTGTTTACCAGTTTAAATTGAAGAGTAAAACAAAAGTAATGAAAGCAGAAGTATAGAGGACAGGGAAGTATTGTTTTTGCACATGCTCAATATTTTTCACAAGAACAATGCTCAGTTTCTCTTGAAAAGTGAACTATGTAAAAGTAAGTGTCTCTTACATGCATGTTTTTGGTATGTGACCATATCTTCTTCTTCCCTTCCATTTTGCCCAGTGAATAATCTGTTCTCATTTAGTGCTGTCCTCTCCGTTGCCAATCTTACACCATCTAACTTCATGTCCTCTTTCACCACATCAATAAATCTCCTTTTGGTCTCTCACCCTGTGACTCCAACATTATGTCTTGATATAATCATTGTATCTCCTCTGAACATGTCCAAAAATCTCAGTCTGACTTCTCTAAATGCATCTCCAAAATACCTAACACAAGTTATATGTGTCTGAATAAGCTAGTACTTTAATGAAGCTAAATTATTTCAACCAACTGACTGACCAATCAGTAGTTAATGACCCCAAGAAGGGAAAACAATATCAACCTAATATAACATCTTACCGTCACTCATAAGACAGAAAAACACATTGGGCCTCAGAGATTATTATGATCTTTGTAGCTGCAGTAAAATTTGGGAAAGAGATACCAACATCCAGATGGAAGCATCTGGTTTAGTTTATTCAGATGTTTGGTTTAGAAATAATCTGACAGAGACAATATAAAATAGTATAGAGATATTTGTTGGTACCCATAAAAAGACTGATTCTTGAATTATCCGGCAGTCAAGCATCTTAGTATGTTGAACAATGTTGTGCAGGAGTTTTTACAGCAACAGAGACCCTATTTAAAGGTGTTAAATTACAAGTCAAATTTCTTTGAAGTCATATTTGACCTATAAAGCATCTTCATATCAACTACAAAAAGTAACATAATTACATGATTGTGCTATAAAGTGGAACTATGTGCCTGGAAAACATATAATATTGCTCTTTAAGAAGCATAAAACAAAGCAGTTTAACATAAAAGCACAACACAACATAGGAACAAATATTACAAAATTAGTAAAAGCATCATATGAAACTAAATCAAAACTAACTAACTTACCACAAATAATAAGTGAACATTAAAGTGGCAAAATTAAACTATTTCTACTGATAGATGGTGGCAGTTGAGTGATCTGTCGTGTGTTAAAATTAATATCTCCACTTATTGTTAATAGGTTTGATTTGATTTCTATCTGAATTTCATTTCATGAATATTTGCTGCTCTTCAGTTCAGCACCAGCTTTATGTATTGGTGGGAGACATCCATCAGAGATGTTGTGAAGACATGGAGCAAGAGGTGACTTTTATTGAATTTTACTGTACTGGTTGAGATTGAACTAAGTTATTTCGTTTGAAACTTATGCAGCAGCTATTCTTTGGTGGTTTGTTAACCCCTGTGTAAAGACACTGAGGTTTGAGACCATATGCCCCTAATAAACCTGAACACATGACTAGACTCATAGCTGCCTAAATAATAAATGAATAAATTCAAACTAGGTTTGTAAAGACAAGACAAACAACACAGAGAACATAGCTTGAAAAACAGACCACTGCATCAATGGTAATAATGTAGTAATATATTTATTATGTATATTTAGTTTTAATTAATATAAACCCTTTATTATAACTAAAAAGCTGGAGAGATTGGAGTTTATTTGTGTTCACAACACAAGTGATGCATATTTGGATGAGTTACTTGGAAATTACCATTTAGAAAATATCTTAAGGGTTTGTACTTTCCCAGACGTCATGTCGGAGAACAGCGCACAGACATTATTTCCTCCAGAGGTTGAAATTTAATTAATTGATGTATTTCACAGATACAATTTTGAAATCTGTAGTTTTATTTTAGCATTAGCCGTGAGAGAAACATCTCCTCACCATCTACAAATGGCTTGAATTCAAAGTATGTTCCAGCTGAAGAAGTTTATGTTTATAAATAGAAGACAAGAAATATGGAGGATGAGCTGTGGTAAAAGGCTCAAACAAAGGCCGAGGTGGAGTGCGTCATTTGATTTGGCAACAAATCCTGTTTGACAAGATAGAATGCGGAAAACACAAAAAGAAATTTACTGGAAAACTGCAGGAACCATTTCAAGTCAAAACAGTCTTTTAGCACCACATTAAAACACAAAGTAGCTTTTTAAGAAATCACACCAAATGATAATGAAGACATTTAAAAAAAAAGATAGTTACAAAAAATTGTTTTTCTGTCTCCTTTTGAGCATTTTTAGTAAACACATTGAATTTATTTCATACTCCAGCACCACTGATTCTGTCCTCACTTAATCAGAGGGACATTTCAAACTTCTTTTTGTGAGATTAATTGACTCAATAATAAATATCAATATATGCTAACTATGCATGCTAAAATTCAATACAAGGTCACATTTTTGAAAAATATATTTCTTTTAAATGCATGTGGTACATAGCTTTAACCATAGAGGTTCATTCTCAAAAAGTGAACAATTTACTACATATGAAGATGAATAACTTCTGAAAATATTTATTTTTAGCTGTCAGAATACAGAATACACTGACAAACCCCAACAAACCTTTCCGGCTAACGGTTTGATTACTGTCATTGTCTTTGTTGTCATTATTAATAGTATCTTTGAGAAAAACATTCCTCATTTATTGATGTCTTTGCAGTTATCCTCAATGTGCCAAATGGGTAAGTGTTTACAATGGGAAATGAAAGTCAGCGTGTACAAATCTAACTAAGAGGCAGCCCAAGAACAAGGGCATTTAAAAGTTAATGCATAAAATAATAAATTATGTTTTAAGAAACAAACGAATGACAATGATGCATCTGTTAACATGTCATTGCTTAATTACATTTTGCTTTCCACAGACTCTTGTTGCTGCCTGTACTCCTCCTC